GCTGAAGGGACCCTCAGCTTCAGTCTAGAAGAGATGCAGTCAGAGAGTGAAATGTGCCTGTGCCCTCAGCACTGATTCAGGGGGAAGATGCTCACGCTGGCTGACGGGGGTATTCTGTCCCCTTGGCAGATGCCCCCCTCCTCCCAAGAGCAGGTAGGTAGGTATACCAGATGATCAGAGCTGGATGTCACCTGCACTAACATGACCCAGGTCACTCCTCTGCTTTGCTTCCAGGCCTACCAAACTTCTGATTAGAATTTGGCTTTCTCTAGAGATTTCCCTAGAGAGAGAATGCGTTGACAGTCCAGCGATTTCTGACCCACTTGGCAATTGTATTTTCCCCTGGTCTTGACATCACTCTCGTGACTTGGGCAGTATTAAGTCCATTTCTCTGGCCTGAACAATTCTGGATGGCTACACTGGCAAAATAAGATTTCTGGGCCTGGAAAGTGGAGGATCAGAGTCTAAGCCCCAGCTGAAGAGCCGGCTGCCTTCCTGGACAAAATCTTCATCTCATTACCGAGTGAAATGGTAAACATTTTCTCTTGGAAGCCAGGTCATTTCTAAATTAACAATCCTGAAAATGGCCTGCTCTTCTAATATTCTTGTCTCCGATGATGCCCTGTCCCAAGTTCCCAGTCGTCCATTATTCTGGAACAATTTTTCCCTGCTCTACTAGGTTGAATGGTGTCTCCCCCAAACTCATGTCTCCCCAGAAGCTGTCAGTGTGACCTTATTTGGAAAAAGCGTCCTTGCAGATGTCATCAAGTTGAGATGCGGTCATTAGGGTGGGGCCTAAGTCCAATGTGACCGGTGTCCTTATAAGAAGGAGGACGTTGGGACACAGAGATGGAGAGGTACGACAGCCACATGAAGGTGGAGGCAGAGGTTGGAGTGATGTGGGCACCAGCCAAGGAACCCCAGGGGCCACTGGAATCTGGAAGAGACAAGAAAGGACCATCCCCTAGAGGCTTCGGAGGGAGCATGGCCCTGCCAACACCTTGATTTTGGATCTGTAGGGAATGAGGGAATTACTTTATGCTGTTTTAAGCTAACTGGCCCATGGCAATTTGTTAATAGCAGCCTAACACATTTACTATTTAGTCTGATAGATTTTTCAGAAAAAAAAATTGCTAGTCTTTCCATTCCTCTCATTTCCTGCTGATGCCACTCTCCTGGGTTTTCCAGATTTTGTTGGATTATCATGTAGAGTGGAGCATGGTGGTTAAGAACGTGGACTCTGGCTGTATAGACAGCCTGGGTCGGCCTCTCCCATTTACTTGCTGTGTGACCTTCAGGTACTCAACCTTTCTGTCTCTGCTTCCTCATCTAGAAGAGGTGAACGGTGGTGGGCGCCCGGGTGGCTCAGTCGGTTGAGAGTCTGACTCTTGGTTTCGGCTCACGTCATGATCTCAGGGTTGTAAGATCGAGTCAGATAAATAAATAAATAAATAAATAAATAAATAAATAAATAAATAAATAAAATCTTTAAAAATAAATAAATGAATAGCCCATGTTAAGGTGTGTGGAGCCAAGTCCCCCTCTGCCTTCCAAATCCAGATGAGATTCTGCCTCCTTTAGAAGGTCTTTCTGAGAATGTGGTTAAGAGCACAGATTCTGGAATCAGCCTTAGTTAAATTCCGGCTCTAAGAGCTCACACACTCTTCTCTGTACCTGACCTTTTCCTAGGGTTTCCGCCTTTCAAGTCTTTTTACCTGCTTCATAGGCTTGATAAGCATTAAGTGAATTAACATAAATCATTTACAATGGTGCATGCCACACAGTGAGAGCTACGTTGTCTGGGGAAACCTAGGAGACGCAAACTTTAACTTTTTGATACACATGGTCTGATTTCTTCCCAAGCTCAAGGTCATTTGATTCTTTTCTGTCTTTACTTTCAATCGTTCCTATAACATATGCCTTTTACCGGTTTTTCCCTTTGGCCCTCACCTGATCAATCAGGAGTGTATCATTCTGTTTGGATTATTTCAACAGCCTCGAAACTGGCCTGTTTCCTGCCCTCCTCTAATCTTCTTTATTTACCTGCCCCACTACTAGGGAAGTCCTTCTTCTGACTCAACACTCCCTGTGTCAGTCTCCGTCTTCGAGTGGAAATCATCTGGATTCGGGGAGCAGTCCCCGAGCGAGGCCTCCAACCGCAGTGACGGCTCCTTCATCCCCTGCAGATTGGGGTTCGCACTGGGGTCAGCGCCCTGTTAGTTCAGGGCAGGCGAGCATCAGGACGCCTCCTCTGATTTGCTAGAGGCATTTGGGGGGGGGTGAGGAGGAGGAGGATTTGGGCAGTAAGCCTCTGACTTTTCAAGACCGGAACCAGAGACGGTTCTGTAAGTCTGTGATGCTCAGAATCCCGGAAGGTAACCCAGAGGGAGTTTCTCGGGTTTTATGAAGGTCCAGAGGGCCTCCTGAACCGGGTTCGTGTCACTGATGGAGCTGCTTGCCCAGCAAGCTGCGGCCGCATTCCCGTCCCCTCAGTCTCTGCAGAGGCTGCCTGGACCGTGGGCTGGCAGGGCTCGGGGCACGGGGGTGAGTGGTCCCCAGGCGCGGGGCTGGGGAGAGCCAGTCTGCCGCCCGGGGTGGGAGAGCCGAAGCCTCAGAGCCGGAGCCGGGCCCGGGGACGGACTCTGCACGCACCTGTTCCCTGTGCGGGACCCGGACTCTGCGCTCCAACACTGCTCTCCTCCGCCCTGCATCCTGCGCCGCCCCCCACCCCATGCCACACACTCTCTCTGCTCCCTCCCCCGCGTCCAGACTCCGTGCACCACGCCCCCAGCCATGCGCCAACACTGCCCCGCTATGCCCCCCACTAGGGCAGCGCCCCCTCCTCGACAATTGCCCTGCACCCCCCATGTGGTGCCCCCTCTCTTCTCCCTCCCCGGCGCCGGGACTCCTGGCCCCCGGATTCGCTGCCCCCCCGCCGGAGGGACGCACTTCGGGCCCTCGCGAGCCCTGGTAACAGTCGGGTCAGGGTGTGCGAGGCGCTCAGGGAGCCTGGGAGGCGGCGCGGTGGAGCCCAGGAGGTGGCCTTTGCGGTCCGGCCAGCCTGCTTTGAACCCGAGTCTTCACTGACGAGTTTTGGGTCCTGGATAGAAAACAGGGCTAACAGTGGTGCCCCCACTGAAGACCGAGGCCGAGAGTGCGAGAGCAGGTGGAAGTCCCCGCACGGGACCCGATGCTCAGGGAGTGTTAACACGGAGCTGGGTGAGGAGGGCGCGTCCCGGGCAGAGGGCACCGCTTTGGGAGGCTCACAGGGCCAGAGGGCAGTGCCCAGGTCCTTGGGGGAGCTGCGGACGTTCAGGGGCAAATGTCGGAGAGAGCCCCCTCCAGCTAACTAGCTCACACTCCCCACTGTGGCCTCTCGGCCTTTCCTTTGTGGCGCTCACCTCACCGGGGTGGACATGCTCCTCTCAACAGATTCTAACCTCTCATAACCTTCTAAACTATTTGGCAACATCCCTGGTGTTTAGATGCCCATCGCTTCTTCCCAGCTGGGGTGACCAGCACAGCGTTTCCAGACGTTGCCAAAGGTCCCTCAAGGGGCAGCCCAGCTGAGAACCCCGGGTCCCCTCTGTGCATCTTACAAGCTGCTCTCACTGCGGAAAGACCCGAGGTGGAAATTCTCCTGTTTTGCAGTCCCATCCAGTCCCTCTCTCTCCTGATGGCTCATGTGAGTTAGCATACCAATGCAGGTACAGCCCAGCCCACTGATGATTAGCTGTGACCGCCCAGATGGGCAGAGCCTAATGCTAATTGGCTGTGATGACCCAGACAGGCGGAGCCTAATGCTAATTGGCTGTGATGACCCAGACAGGTGGAGCCTAATGCTCATTAGCTCTGACCGCCCAGATTGGGCAGAGCCTAATACTGATTGGCTGTGAGCACCCAGATGCGTAGAGCCTAATACTGATTGGCTGTGACCGCCCAGATGTGCAGAGCCTAATGCTGACTGGCTGTGACCACCCAGATGGGCAGAGCCTACTGCTCACTGGCCATGACTGCCCAGGTGGGCAGAGCCTAATGCTAACTGGCTGTGATGACCCAGGCAGGTAGAGCCTCATGCTGACTGGCTGTGACCACCTAGATGGGCAGAGCCTAATGCTGACTGGCTGTGACCACCCAGGTGGGAAAAGCCTAGTGATGATTGGCCATGACAGCCCAGATGGGTGGAGCCTAAGCACCAGGCTTCGTGAGCTCCAGGGTTCCACTTGGCCCTTCCAATTCTCAAACCAGCTATGCCCCCTTGCAAAGCCCTGCGTCGAGACAAAACCACTGCCCCTACAGTCCCCTGATCTTTTGCAGTACACTGCCTCCCCGCTCAGGCCACCTCTGCACTGTGCCCTGGTGCATGCTCTGATTCTGTCCCTGACACCTGCTCTCCTATCTCCTGGGGCTACCAGAGGACACCCCACTTTCTCTGCGGGACACCCTCCTCTGGCCCTTGTGTCTTGGTGTCCAGCTGTCCTCCTGTCATTGTGGCTTCCTCCCAGTTCGTGGATCATTGCAGTTAGCATCATCACACGTGTGTAAGGACGAGAAGGGGGGGAGACATACATATAAAGCATATCCCTAATGGGAACCACCCCTAAAGTACGTAAAGCAGATTTAGACCTGTCCCTGGACCAGGGGGTCAGGGCTGAAATGGCTCCTTTCATGAAGAATTTAGTTCTGGGGCTGTTGCCACGGTGACTTCTAACGACTTTAATGACAGTAGACATCCCCTGAAACATTGTCCAGTGATTACATCCCGGGGACCACATCCAGTGTCAACTCGGAGTCAGAAGGACAGCCTGTACATCCGAGCTCTGTCGCCTGGTTACACTCCAGTTTCCCGCCTGGCGCGGCGCCCCAATGTCTTCCTGCCTCCAGATGCTTTCCAGTGATAAACACCTTGACAGTGCAATAAGAATGGCCTCCCTCAGGCGCGCCCTGGGTCCCTTAGGGTTCCATCACCTCCGAGTCCTGTCTGTGGGCTCTGTCGCCGCGCCCTGGCCCCTCCCCGGGGTGCAGCCGCTGGTGTTTAAGGAAGGCCATGCGCCCCCCGGCCTTCCCACAAGCGCCGCATTCAAAGGGTCTCTCTCCAGTGTGGCTCCTCTGGTGACTGAGAAGGTGGGAGTTCTGACTGAAGGCCTTTCCACATTCAGGGCAATTGTAGGGTTTCTCTCCCGTGTGCACGTGGTGGTGTTTAATGAGGTCGGAGCTGCCCCTGAAGGACTTCCCGCATTTAGCACAGGGGTAAGGCTTCCTCCCCGCTGTGGATTCTCTGGTGCCTTGTGCTGAGCTCTGCTGGAAGGATTTCCCACACTCTGCACACGCATGGGGCTTCTCTCCTGCGCAAATCACTGGAAGTCCCACGAGGTCTGAGCTGCCCTGGAAGGTTCTGGCACGCTGGCTGCGCTGGGGCGCTCTCTCTTCCCCATGAGTTCCCCGCTCATCCCCAGGCACCTGGTCCTGGCTCAGTGTCCTCCCGCATCCCTGGGGTTTCTCTGCAGCGTGAAGCCTCTGGTGTTTGAGGAAGGCTGTGAGCCAGATGAAGGGCTTCCCGCAGGCCCCGCACTCGTAGGGCTTCTTCCCAGTGTGGATTCTTCGGTGCTGGACAAGGAGTGAGCGCTGCCGGAAGGCTTTCCCGCACTCGCTGCATGGATATGGCTTCTCCCCGGTGTGGATTTTCTGGTGCGTGAGCAGGTGTGACCTCTGGCTGAAGGCCTTCCTGCAGGCCCTGCACTCATAGGGCTTCTCGCCGGTGTGGATTATCCAGTGCCGGATGAGGTCTGAGCTTCCCAGGAAGGTTTTCCCACACTCCGTACACTCATAGGGCTTCTCCTCCCTCTCTGTTCTCTGCTGGCCCAGCTGGCCCGCGTCCTGGCCCACGTGCAGCCTCTGGTGCTTGAGCAGAGCCGTGCGCCCGCTGAAGGCCTTTCCACACCCGGCACACGCATAGGGCCTCTCCCCGCTGTGCAGCCTCTGGTGCTCGGTGAGGCGCGCATGCTGCCTAAAGGCCTTCGCACACTCAGGGCACGTGAAGGGCTTCTCCCCGGTGTGGGTCCTCTGGTGTGTGGCCAGGTGTGAACTCTGGCTGAAGCTCTGGCCGCACTCATAGCACTCGTACGGCTTCTCTCCAGTGTGAACTCTGTGGTGGATGACCAGGTCCGAGCTCTGGCTGAAGGCCTTGCCGCATTCGTGGCATGCGAAAGGCTTCCCGCCGCCGCCGTGGGTCCTCTGGTGCAGGACCAGGCTGGAGCTCCCGCGGAAGGCCTTGCCGCACTCCTGGCACTGATAGGGGTTCTCGCCACTGTGGATCCGCTGGTGCCTGGCCAGGTTGGAGCTCTGGTTGAAGTTCTTCCCACACTTGCAACACAGGTAAGGTTTCTTCCCTGTGTGAATTCTCTGATGAATCATGAGATTTGAACTCTGGTTGAAGTCTTTCCCACATTCGTCACACATATAGGGTTTCCTCCCTGTGTGAATTCTCTTGTGGATGATCAGGTTTGAGCTCTGGTTGAACGTTTTCCCACATTCCTGACATTGATGGGTTTTCTTCACATTACCAGTTTTCTGGCACTGGGTGACCTCTGACGTCTGCTGGAATCTCTCACCACAGGCTTCTCCGCTGTGGGATCTTTCTCCTGCAGAAAGTGTTCTTTCTCTCCCATTACATCCGTGGCCCCTCTCTCCTGCGATGGCTTTTGCGGGAATGAGATTCGCTTCCTTGATAGCTCTCCCTTGGGAAGCGGGGAGCCCCCCCTGCATCCTGTGAGGGGCTCACCCAATGCCTCAATGACCTGACCACAGGGTCAGCAGCTTCAACCAACCCACGCTCCTGACGGATCAGTCTCTGGCATCCTTCGGATACAACCCTTGCTGGATCTTTGTCTCCAGGTACGTTCATCTTTGACTTCCGGCCCTTTATGTTATTCCTGATCTCTGGATCTGAAATGATAAGTAGACCATGCTAGCATTCCTAAAATACAAACATCACCTCTTCCCCCATACTGAGAAGTCAAAGAGGGAGGAACAAAGAACTGAGAAGAGGACTGTATCCCGGCTGGGGCTGAGATTCGGACCTTTTTGGAGATTGTGGCCACCACCAGAACACCCCCACTTGTGTCTGCTCTCTAATAGATATATACAATTTTTAAAAGAAAAAAAAAATGAAGTGGTGCATGAACGCCAGGAGGAGAACTCCCTTTCTTTTCCTTTTCCTGTGGCCTTGCACTGTCCTTCTGGCACCGTCCACAGACAAAATCTAAACCTCGTGCCCACTGGCCAAGGAGAAACAGTGCAGATCCAGTAACGGTGCAGATCCAGTAAAAGGAGGACAGAGAAGGGCGGAGGAGGAGGTGAGAGCCCAGTCCTTCCAGAACACCTGGGCAAACCCAGAACTTTTGCCCCCCACCCTGCCATCCCCCCGAGATGAGGCTGGATGCCCTTCGGCACAGACTGCAAGCACCCTGCCACCAGGCATCAAAACCACTGGGAATCCTCGATGCTCTGATGCCAATGATCCCTGTACAGACTCTCCTTGTTTGTGTGTTTCACCCCAAACTCAGAGAGCGGAGAGTGTATGGACGCCCCCCTCCACCGGTGGGGCCAGCTCTGCCTCCCACAGCGTCTCCTCCCCATGGAGCTTCCATGGAGCGCAAGCCCGGGGCCCAGCATCCTCTGTGACCTGCTCACAGCCACATCCCACAGCATCCTGAATTCCTGAAACAGAAGCCCCTGCTCAGGAACCACCCAGGAGAGAGCAGTAGACACTTGGTACCTTCGCTTCTCTCCTTAGAACTCTGCTATGTCGCGCATCACCCTGGCTCTCAGCAGCCAATCCTGTCCTCACTTTAGAAAGGGGAGACCACGGGGTGAAACCCCTACGTCACCCTGTCTTGTCAGCGACTCCGCACTCTGCTGTATTTCTTCTCTGCCGCTCCCCAGTGCTGATCTGCCCTCTGAGCCCTGCTGTGGGCCATGCACTGCACTAGGTGGGAAGTAACGAGCACCATGCAGGACGATACCGAGGACAGAGTCCCTCTCCTTGAAGAGCCCATGCTGGGCTGGGGGCTCAGGAAGGGTACGCACGGGGTGCTGTGAGACCTTGCAGGAAGAGCACGTCCTTGACGGGGGACAGGCAAGGAAACTTCTGGAAGGACGAAGCTTCTAAGCTGAGGCCTCAGAGACCACCTGAGATAACCAGACTTCCCACGAGGCTGCAGCACGTGCATGGGCGGGAGGTGAGAGAAGCCACCAGCATCCACGCATGCACCATGGGACTGAGCCCAGGATGCGGGACGGCAGAAGGTGGAGATGGGAAGGGCTGGTCAACTCGTGGAGGACCAAGAGGTTTGGGCTTTTTCTGAAGGCCATGGGAAGCCCCTGAAGGGGTTAACGCAGGAGAATGTTGTAAGCAGATTTATGGTTTTAGAAGACTGTTCTGATCGTTTTCTGGAGGATGGATGTTGGGTCAAGGCTGTGAGCGGGGATATCAGGCAGGCAACTACAGCAGTGGTCTGCTTGGAGCCTGGGAGGGCCCCAGTGAGCTCCGGGCAGAGGGCACGGGGGGATCGAGTCCGTATGTCAGAGAAGCAAGACCTGGTGCTGTCCTAGACAGAGGGGCCGAGGGGACAGGGCAGGCATTAAGGATGGTATCCATGTTTCTGACTTGGGCAACCGCCTGAATTGGGTAGTTGGAGGCAAAGACTGGGTGAGGGGAAGGCAGTGGGGGAAATAATTTCAGACTTGTCGGAGATACCTCTGAGGCATCCAGGAGAAATGCCTGCAGAGCCGACGGGTCAATGGGTCAGGAGCCCAGGAGGAACATCTGGAATGCAGACAAAGATTTCAGAATCATCAGCACACAAGTAGCATCTAAAGCAGAAAAGTGTCACTAATTATGGCTTGGAGACCTGAGCAGAGCACAGGGTGTGGGAGTGAGCAGAACCAAGTTAGAATCCCAGCGTCTTAATCTCCCTCAACCATCCTCCTCTCGATGTCCAACAGAAGGAAGAGCATTTGTCCCACAGTGTCATCGTACCGACAAAGCCCCCCAAGGTGGACAGTGCACACCATGACCATGTAAACTTCTCAAGAAACTCCACAGGGCTGGGGGCTCCTGTTTTCAGTGTCGGAACAGGGCCCTGAATATAGCGGGCGCGCAATAAAAAACTGCAGAATAAGTGAGCAGGTTACCCCTCGACCCAATAATTCCTGAAATCCTTTTCTCTCTTGGCTTCCACAGTGGGTGATATTCCAACCACTTTTGTACTATCTTTACCCATTTCTCAGTGTATTACAAGCATTATGGAGGCCCAGCCCCTAGTCCTGTCTTTATGTGACATATCAGTGGCCACACCCCCTCTGGCTCCCGTGATCTCCTTTGTCCAGGATGAATCATGATCTGGAACTCCTATTCCTCACCCACATTTTCATCTACACTCACTGTGCATCGCTAGTCCTGTGTCTTACTGGATTGTGAAGCAAATGGATAAAGATGAACTCGCCATTTTACACTTACTCCCCTTTCTTACTATCCATTTCTGCCAAATGACCCGTTTTCATTGAACAAGTATTTTCCGTGATCCTATGGCGTCCAGGCACTGTTCTAGACCCTGTGATGCCGTGGTGAACAAGACAAAGTCCCTGCCTTCATGGGGTCTGGCGTTCCAGGGGCTTCTAGGCCAGAGACACAGTCGTTTATGCCACCTAAAATGTGGTCCACACACCAGCACCATCAGCCTCTCCCAGGAGCTTGGTAAAAATGCCAATTCTCCAGCAGCGTCCCAGACCCACTGAGTCAGACCGTGGGGGAGGGGCCCGGCAGTTGGTACCTGCCAAGCCCTCCAGGAGACGCAGGTGGGCTATGATTTCATCTTGGACTCCCCTCTTTCCATACCTACGAACTCTGAAAACTCCTTTGGCCCTCTCCAACCCCACCTGAGTCTAGAACCTTCTCACCTCGTGCTTGGATTGCTTGGAAAATCTCTGATAATCGGCTTTCTGGTTCCAACTGGTAAAGCTAATGCTGTTGGATGAAGTACTTTTCTCAAATCCTGCTTTCCCTGACGACAGTGATTGAAAACTTACCGTGAATTTTTAAATCATCTATTAAAGGAAATGATAGCACCTCTTGACTTCCGAGCTATATTATTCCCTAGGGCTGCTGTAACAAAGTACCCCAGATTGGGTGGCTTTGAGCAGAACTTCATTCTCTTGCAGTCGGAGGCCAGAAGTCTGAAGTGAAGGTGCCAGCAGGTGGCTTCCTTCTGTGGGCTCAGGGATAGCCTGCACCCCTCCCCCCAGCATCCGGTGACAGCAGGCAGTCCTTGTGTCCCTTGCTTTGTAGATGCATCACCACAATCTCTGCCTCCCTCTCCACGTGGCTTCTCCCTGCTTTGGTTTCTTCACATGGTCCTGTTCTTATAGGGACACCACTCACATTGAATCGGGGGGGGGAAGGGGGAAGGGAGCCGTTCTAGTCCAGTATGACCTCACCTTAACTAATTACATCTGCAACGATCCTATTTCCAATAAGGTCCCATTCTGAGCTAGTGGGGTTAAGACGTCGATATACTGAACGGACACAGTTGGGGTGGGGGGACGCAATTCAACACGTAACGAGAGCCCTCCTCTATGATTCACCTAAGAGCAAAACTGTGCTTCAGTGTCTCCCCTAACTTCCCATACACTGTGCTTCTCTCTGTGCTGTCCCTTTGCCTCCCACTCTTCTGCTCGCGATGCTGCCCCAGGTCTCCATCTACTCCGGGAACCCAGAACCCAAACAGCCACAGGCCAGGCACTTCATCAGAACGAATGAAGGAAGCTAGGTGATGATCCACGACAAAATGATACTTTGCTTCCATGTCAGGGAGATGGTGGAGACTAGTGGGGACTGGGGCTCTGGAAATTGGATGCCGAGTCTGAAGGCGGAGCTCCTCAATTCCTGCTCAGTGCACCGTGTAGACATGGTGGGGGGGGGGCGGCATGGGGACACATCTGAGCTTTAAAGACATGCTAAAGCCCAGGTCTTGCGTGAGTAGATGTGAAAGACATTTCCGCATTTTAAAATGCTGGCCTCGGATTCAAATAAAATCCAAGGGCATGAGTGGGGAAAATGCTGTCTACAGTCCTACCTGGCCCTGGGGCCATCATTCTTCAGCCCGTGACCTTCGCAAACACTTCCCACAGCTGCAGGCCCACATGTTGGCACCTTCTAACCATTTCAATCCTTTTAAAGTCAAATTCGCGTGCATGCGTTACAACGATAGAGCTCCTGCCTAGAGAGGGACCCGGAGACTTGCACACTCAGGCACACACGTGAAACAAGTTAGTAAGCACTAGCTCAACGAGCTAAACGAGATGAGAAGCTCGGAGATGCAGGTGGCAACTCTGGAAGGCTTCTCAGAGGAAGGGGCTTTTGAAGCTACTCCTAAAAGAATGGGCATGCCTTTACAAAGAAGAGACCGGCCTAGACCTCGCCCCCCCTCCTCTGAGCTCCCAGGGCACGAACATTTCAGATCAAGTAGGACAACACGTCTGGCCCGCACAGCTCATTCCCGTGGTTCGGTCTGGTCCCCCTCGGTCACCCCCGAAGCCCAGAAACCAAGTCTTGTGCAAAGGCTCCGGGCACAGCGCAGGGCAGGGAGCAGGGGCAGCCTGGGCCTGGGGGAAAGGCAGCTCGCTGCCCCCCAGGAGGGAGCTGGCCCCCACCAGGGTACGGAGAGGCGGCAGCGGAGGGTGGTGGCGGCGCGCGCCGGGAGCCAGAAGGGGACCCTGCCCCGCCGTCCCCCGGCCCAGCCTCTCCCCACTGGCCGGCCTCCAGGGGTCTGCTCGGCGCCCCGCTTCCCCGGGGGGGGGTTAAGGTGACCGGGCGCCGAGACCCCCGGCTCTGCGCACGCAGCGGGTCTCACCTCCAGGCCACCCCAGCCTCCCGCTCCACCGCGGCCCCCTCCACGGCGGCCATCGCGCAGCCCCGGCTCGGCCAGCGTCTGGAGCGCTCCCCGAGCCGGCGGCCCCCCTGCCCCCGCCGCCAGCTTCCGCGGCGGACGCCTCCCGCCCGCACGGGGGTCGCCTCTGCGCAGACTCTGGCGGCCCCGCGGCAACCCCTCGGGGTCTCCTCTGCGCAAGCTCGGGCAGCTCCCGCGGTGGACACCTCCGCCCGCTCGGGGATCTCCTCTGCGCAGACTCAGGCGGCCCCGCGGCAACCGCTCGGGGTCTCCTCTGCGCAGGCTCGGGCAGTTCCCGCGGCGGACGCCTCCCGCCCGCTCGGGGTCTCCTCTGCGCAGACTCGGGCGGCCCCGCGGCCCCCGTCCCCGCCCGCTCGAGGGTCTCCTCTGCGCAGACGCGGCCGGGCGCTAGGCGCCCGCTGGGTCGCGCACGAGTCGACTGCGGGGAGGCTCCATGCGGCGCGGGCTGGTGCATCTGCCAGTTGTCCGGGGTCTTAGACCCGCCGGCGGCTGGGCCGTGGCCCGTGGGTCCGGGTGGGCGAGACCTCAGCAAGCAGTTTTACATTTTTGTTCCAATTTTCTTTAGTCCTCCCCCCCGCCCCCGCAAGATCCCCTTTAGTGGTCTCATTCGTGGATGCCTTCTATTTGCAATTTCTATTTGCAATGCCCTGTCCAAGCCTTGGTGACAGGTATCCAAGGAGAGCTGGCGTAACGTTTAAAAGGGCAGGTTCTGAAGTGAGAAGTCCAGACACTCAGACGGAATCACTCTCCTACCACTTGGGGCCTGTGTGACTTTGGCAAGTTAGTTAACCTCTCCGCGTCTCACTTGATGGGTCGTCCCCCTCTTCCTCGCTAGCTGTAAATGCTGTCTTTATCACTGACTCAGCTGCACATGTATTTGGTCATGTATTTGGGGTATGCTTCTCCACTTATCTATATCTTCTTTGATAATAAACTGTTATTGAGCATTTATTTTCTTAAAGGTTTTTTTTTTTTTTAAGATTTTATTTATTTGACAGAGAGCACAAGCAGGGGGAGCGGGAGGCAGAGGGAGAGGGAGAAGTAGAGCAGGGAGCCCAATGCAGGACTCGATCCCAGGACCCCAGGATCATGACCTGAGCCAAAGGCAGACGCTCAACGACTGCGCCACCCAGGCGCCCCTATTGTGAGCTTTTAAGTACGTTTTAGAGTCTGGTAGGGCTAGTCCTCTCTCCATTTACTCTTTCTTGTCACAAAATTGTGACCATGACTATACTCTCATATTTCTTATATTATTTTTAAGTTAACAAAATAAAGGGGTTTTGTTTGATTTTGTGTGTGTGTGTGTGTGTTCTGTTTTAAAAACCAAGATCTGCTTAAGGCAGAAAATGAAAATGGATGGTGGCGGGAAGGACAGGAGCTACCTTTTTGAGACATAGAGTCCTGTGAGGAGTGGTTTATTCTAGTGGTTTAGTCCCTCCTGCCCCCCTCCCCCGCCCCTGTCGTCGCCCTCCCCTCCCCCACTTCCTTCTTCCATGAGGAACTCTTCTCATCTCGTCTGGGCTGAACATGCTTCTCCTCTCAACCTGTGATTCATTTGTGCCGCAAATACCTATGGAGTGCCCACTCTGCCGGGCACTGGGATGCGATAAATGTGGAGCTGAACCCGAGGCCCTCTTGTGGAATTTAGAGTCCCATGGACGAGGTTCACTTCCACCAATGCCTATAAAGCGAGACCTGTCACGGGAGCTCTGGACCGCGCAAGGTGCCCTAAGACTTTAGAAAAGAAGATCTGACCTATACGGGACAGACTCTGAAGTCTCCCTGCAACCGGGCTTTCTTGAAAGAGCCAGGCACACGAAGGACAACGAAGGAACAAGCCCATCTCTAACTGAACACAACTCGGCTCCTGGAACAGGAGAGTGTGGAGGCTGCCTTCAGGCCAACAGGCTTGAGCAATGCAACGCAGAAAGGCCCCCAGGGACCTCCTGGCTGGAGGCAGACCCATCAGGGGACCCACCTCAAAAGAGCCACAGGCCCTAACTGACCGATGCGCTTCTTACAAGCAGGCACAGTTACCAAAAAGGGGAGAATTCCATACATCCCCGTACCTGCTCACCTTCCCCTTTAAAAACAGCCCCCAGGGGCGCCTGGGTGGCTCAGTTGGTTGGGCGACTGCCTTCGGCTCAGGTCATGATCCTGGAGTTCCTGGATCGAGCCCCGCATCGGGCTCCCTGCTCAGCAGGGAGTCTGCTTCTCCCTCCCTCTGACCCTCCCCCCTCTCATGTGCTCTCTCTCTCATTCTCTCTCTCAAATAAATCAATAAAAATCTTTAAAATAAAAATAAATAAATGAATAAAAACAGCCCCCACCCACCACCTCCTCGCAGACCATTTCTCCTCCGGTGTCCTGCCCGCGCTCCCTTGCGGTGTAGTCAGTGAACTTCTATCACCTGTGTTCTGCCTCAGGTGAATTCATTCCCTGCCCGTACCACAGGCTTCCACCTGATCCTTGCCCCACCTTTG